TCAGGGGGTATAAAAGCTACTAAATGTCCACTAGAACCAACATTTGGCCCCTCTAACTTTCTTATTTTCTACAAACCTTTGGGACCTCTAAAGGCACCACTTAGATTCTTCTTTGAGAAGCTTCTCCTAAAACAAACTGTCCTAGAAATTAACTTTTTAAGGACCTTTCCATGGTCCACCTCAGGGGGTATAAAAGCTACTAAACGTCTACTAAAACCAACATTTGGGCCCTTGTTTTCAGCCCCAGAAAACCTCCTTTTCTGAGGATAAACTGCATATAAATGTAGGTTTTGTTTAGCCGATGAGGTCATGGCTGGCTAACAGAGCCCCTATTGAGGGCTGCAAAGCGCCTTTTATTCTTATTATTCTGGCCCCAAAAAAGCATTTTGTGGATTCAAAACGACAAAAATAAAATGAAAAAAATGTTTTTAATTAAGTTATCTAAAAATGTTTAATTATTTGTAAAAATCAACATTTATTTTGAATTAGTAAAATAGTAAAAAATATATATTTTTGGGGGCTGAAATTCTTTTATTGGGTTGAAATGTTTTTCTGGGGGCCAAAATAAAGTAAAAAAATATTTTGTGATGGCTCATTTTGTCCAGTTAAAAAACACATAGCTTTGTCTTGAATCTGGAAAAAAATCATATTTCATTTATAACTAAAGAAGGTTCAGTGAATGCATCTGAGACTGGAGGTTCAGGACCTCAGAAAGGTTAAAAAAACACAAATAAAAAGAGTTTCAGGGGGCTTAAACCAGACCTTTGGGAAGAGGTATGACTTTTTTATGCTAACTAGCAGCCAGCTAGCATAAGAAACCTTTGATTTACTCAGAAAATATGACTCTTTCTTCCATTTTCTGTCCAGCATGGTCAGGACTCTGACTCCTAACAAACCAGGAGGCGTCTGGTTGTAGTTTCCACCTGGAAGACGGACGAAAACCAGCAGCCAGAGGCAGAAAAAGAGGAGAGCATCACCTGATGTGTGAGGATGGAGGAGCCCACAATGAGGAACTAAACACTGGTGGGAAAACAACGACTTCTCTGCCAGACAAAGGACACCAGAACCTCTGTTATGATGCCTAAATACACCTATTTACCAACATCCGAAGTGAAATTTGATCAAATATTCGACTCAACACCAAAAGTAAATTTCCTACATAAGACAAAGTCATTGGAAAAAAAATAAATAAATAAAATAAATAAAAAAAAATATATATATATATACATATATATATGTATATATATATATAAAAATTTAATAAAAAAATACGTACGCTAAGTTAGTTTTAAGTTAACGTCATGTGAGTTAGATAAAAAAAAATCGGAAAAATACTTAAAAAAAAAATATATATATATATATATACTGTATATATCAAAATTAAATAAAAATAAATAAGTTGGTGTTAAGGAAACGTAATGTAAGTTAGATTTTTTTGTTTATCAGAAAAATATATATAAAATTAAATACAAATAAATAAGCTAGGTTAGTTTAAAGTAAACGGAATGTAGGTTTGATTTTTTTATTATTATAAAAATACAAAAATAATAGAAACATTTAATTAAAAAAATAAGTATGCTAAGTTAGTTTTAGGTTAACATTATGCAAATTAGATTTTAAAAATTCTGAAAAATTGGGTAAAAAATGTATATAGCAAAATTAAATAAAAATAAATAAGCTAAGTTAGTTTAAATTTCAGGTAGTAATGTGAGAGTAAACTCACTGTATCTCAGTCTCTACCTGCCAATAAAAACCCTTTTTATTGATTATTTCTTTATCATTTATTTCTTTTTCCATCTCTCTTCTAGAAGCCATTTGTTTTCTTGCTATGTGTAATTATCTGCAGTATTTATTAAGGAGTTATCGTAGGTTTTTGGAACCAATTCTAGGAATTACAGAGTATTCTGATGGAAATATTTGAACCAAAATACCAATATTTTTACAAACAAAGTCGCTCCTGGAACCAATTAAATTCGTATGTAGAGGTTCTGCTGTATTGGCCAGGAAAAAACAAACAAAGGGGACGTCAATATGCTCAAAGAAGTGAGTCAATACTGTGAGGTAAGAGGCTGTTTTCCCCTGATAAGGTCAGAAATCTAAAAAAAAAGTGGAGCTCTTTTTGGGAACCGAGACCCGGGCGGGACCCACCGATGCCGCTGACCTCCTGGCGGCCGCTCAGGCGGCTCCTCTCGTCGGCTATGGCCTTCAGCATCTCCCGCAGGGACCCGTCCGGTTCTCCGTTTTCCTCCTCCTCCACGGGCCCGACGGCCTTACACAAACCGGGGAAGGACGCCATCTCCCAGCCGGGATCATGACAGTCCGCACCGACGGTTCCGGGTCACGGACACCGGGGATCCCCCCCCCCACCCACCCCCGGTTCCTCCGCCTGCTGGGTCCGGAAAAAGGCTCCCACCGTGGGGACGCGGGGGTCTGGTGAGCGGTCTCCGCTCCGGTCCGGTCCTCCGGTTGTGCGGATCAGCTGGAAACACCCCTCACACTTCCGGTAACAACACGAGGCTCTTAAAGAGACAGAGCACCGGTGGAGAGAAGAGGTCCGTTACCCGTTATGTCCAGGGACCGGGGAGGCCCGCTTGTGCCTGATCATAAATCACCCCCAAACACAAAACACACGCTGTTAAATAGCAGGACTTTTTTATTCTTTACCTAATCAAAACACAACTAACTTGAAAATGAACTGACGCTATTTAGAGTGCCAGCAAAAAAGAAAAATGGGGGAAAAAAATATTTTAAAGCCTTTTAGTCGAGTTTTTTATTATTATTTTTTTTATAGTTTTGCGAAAATTATTCAAAATCAAACAAGCCTGTTGGAAAAAAAGCATTTTTCCAAAGATAAATTCTTAAAATCCAAAGTAGCTCCAGAAAACACTAAAAATGCCAAAAAAAATACACATAAATTCAGCCAAAATATCAGCTGAGATTGAAATAAAGAAGACCTTAACTGTTCTTTTCATTTAAATCTCAGTTTATAATTAATCATTATAAAAAGAATACACATAAATTCAACCAAAATATAAACTGAGATTGAAATAAAAAAGACCAGTTGAGGTCTATTTCATTTAAATCTCAGCTTGTATTTTGTCCAGATTTATGTGTATTATTTTAAATAAAAGGTTTTAATCATTTACAACTCTGTTATTCTTCCCTCTCCGGTAAAGTAGCTGTGGCACAACAGGCTTCCGGTACCTATTGGCTGAGGAATCAAACGCTCCTGGGCTGGATTTCTTTGTAAAACTGATCCGGAGACAAAACAAAACAAACCCCTTCAGTAACCAAACCCCCGACAAACATTTAGTTTGGCCCAATCTTTCACCTTTATCGTTTTAATCGATCGTTGTATTAATATGGGAGGGAGTTATTTGACGGTTAGAAAAAAAAAACAGCATTCTATCTCAGACGTTTAAAACGGTTTGAATGAGGTCAACCGTCATAGCGTCGGCAGTTGGATTTAAAATGGAAATTAAGTGTTTAAAATGCTGTAAATCCGCGATTAAGCCGGTTAAACTGACCCGGAAGTGTCTTATTAACGATGCGGGTGTCAGAATCCAACGTAACACTAAACAGTTCCCGCCTGGACGGCGGCTCCTTCAGAAGTTTTAACCGAGCGCACCCTGTCTTTCAAGACAAAGGATGACGTCACCTTCCCAAGCGCTCGAGGAGGCCGGAAACTGGAATGAATTTTAATTCTTTTTTTTATTTTTAAGGCACACATACTCGGATCAGACGGACAGAAGGTGGCCGTTAACGTGCCTGTGTAGAAATAAATTCACTTTATGAGCCAAAAAACTGAATGTTTTAATAAAAAACAACATTATTCTTAATATCCCTCTAAAAATATAATAAATATGAGCACAGGGTCCAGGGTTTTGACTGGCTTGGGCCCAATAAACACTCATGAGAACCCACTTTTGGGCCTTAAGGCATCAAACCTGTGCGTCACAAAGCAAAGCTGGCTTTATTCTCAGATTACAAAAGTTCACTCGCTGGTTTTGCTGAGCGAAAAGCAGCACATGATCATTTGGTCTTTTGCAGAAGCTTTCAGGAGCGAGAAGCAAAGCAGAACTCCAGCTCCCTCCTTCCTGGTTCCACCTTCCCTCTAGGGGAGCCTGTCAGCACACCTGTAGGCCACGCCCACACCTGTAGACCACACCTACAGTTGTAGGCCACGCCCACACTGGTAAGCCACGCCCTTACATGTAGACCTAGCCCACATATATAGGTCACGCCTCACACCTGTAGGCCACACCTACACATACGGGCTACACTCACACCTGTGGCCACACCTGAACTTCTAGGCCACGCCCACACACGTAGGCCACACCCACACTGGTAAGCCACGCCCACACCTGTAGACCACACTTACATGTGTAGGTCACCCCCACACTGGTAGGCCACGCCCCACGTGTGTAGGCCACGCCCACACTGGCAGACATAGCTCCCACCTGTAGGCCACACCTAAACTTTTAGGCCAAGCCCACACCTGTAGACCTAGCCCCACAGCGGTAGGCCACGCCCACACAGGTAGGTCACGCCTATACATGCAGGTCACGCCCACACCTGTAGACCACACCTAGACTTGTAGGCCACACCCACACATTTAGGTCAAGCCCACACTTGTAGACTACACTTGTAGGCCACGCCCACACATGTAAGTCACGCCCACACTTGTAGGCCACGCCCCATAATGGTAGGCAACACCCCCACATACAGGCCACGCCCAACACGTGCAGGTCACGCCTACACTTTTAGGTCACATCCACACCTGTATACCACGCTTACATTTTTTTAAGCCACACCCTAAAATGCAAGCCACACCTACACATGTAGGCCACGCCCACACCTGTACACCACGCCCAACACATGCAGGTCACACCTTCACTTGTAGTCCAAGCCCACACCTGTAGGCCACACCCACATGGTCGGTCACACCTACACATATAGGCCACGCCCATATATGTAGGCCACGCCCACATGGTCCCACCTCCTTCAAAAACCACCGTTCCTCCACTTCCTGTTTGCTTTATTGATCAGTCCTGGAACCACCGGCCCCCTTCCTCCCCCCTCCCTGCCCCCCCCCTCAGATGAAGCCCCGGCGGACGTCGGTTGGGCGCCCCCCCCCCCGGCGGGCGGCGGAAGCTGAATCGGGGTCTCCCGGCGGGGTCGGCGATGGGGCCAATGGGGTCCCGGCGGGGGCGGGGCAGCAGGCCCCGGGGCAGCGCCGGCCGCTGGTCGTGCTCCCCCCCGATGATGCCGGGCAGGGGGGGGAAAAGGGGGCGGGGCACCGGGGTGAAGATGTCCCGGTCCGGGAACGGAGGCAGAGAGCGGTGACGCAGAGCACGCCGGAAATCACTACGACTCCGGTGAGCGTTTTTGTAGAGCTGCAGGAAACAGAGCAGAACTCAGAAACTACAGAAATTAATTTAAATCTAAATGAATTAAATGATATATATTTTTTAAATGTATTGAAATGTAAAAAATAATGAAAATGTATCAAAAATGTAGAAAATAATTCATTTAAAAAATGTTTTAAATGAATTGAAAAAGTAAAAATTGATTAATCTAATTAAATATATTTTTAATGAATTCAAAGTGTAAAAAATGATTAATTTAATAAAATATTTTTCTTATTAATTGAGAATTTAAAAATGAATGAATTATTTTTTTTGTTAATTGAAAATGTAAAACTTAATTTATTATTTTTTACATTTTACTAAAAACGTTAAATTTATTAAATATTTTGAGCAATCATTAAAAATGTAAAAATGTATTAATTTAATTAAATATTTTTAAAAAATGTATTATAATGTAATATTTAATATATTTTTAAAAATGATTAAAAATGTAAAATTTAATTAAATATTTTTTTAACAATTAATTAAAAATGTCAAAAGCAGTTACATTGATTTAACATAACATACAAATATTTTCTCTTTATGTCCCTCTGCCATTATAGCTTTTCAACACGGCAGATCGCCATGGAAACCCCCCTGGACTTACCCATCCTGTGTACATACAGATAGGAAATTCTCCCTTATTAGACATCAGATCATATCAGATGTCGTTTTACACCAAATGAGGACACATTTAGATGATTTTAGCTACATAAAATCCTTAAAATACTACATAATGTCCCTCTAAGGAGGCTTTTTCGTGACTCTTTCCTCTCACCTCCTTCCAGTCCGTGTCTCTGGGTCTGCT